TGGTCTAAAACATGAAAGTTATAATTTGTCCTGACAATATCAAGGCCATAGCAACCTGCTGAATATGCATCTAAGGAAATTAAGGCGCAATACTCAGATTGGAAAATGGCAGATATGGTAGTTTGCTGCTATGTTCTTGTCAGTCTTTCCAAACACTTGCAAAAGTAACTCTACATGATTAAGAGTGGAATAGAGTTGCTTCAGACTCTTAATGACATGTTTGTTGCGTCTAGCAACTTTGCTAGACAGAATGCAAGTTTTGTTAAAAGTCTTGTTAAATCGAAAAAGAAAACTCAAGTGCGGTAAAAAGAAAAAAATGGCTTGGTTATGAGTTGTCAAACCAATTGCAATAAAGAAGCAACAAAACAAGTGTTTCAAGTGCAGACTTAAGGGACACTAAATTTTTTTTTGCCCAGAAGTGATGAAAAGAACCAGACACAGATAAGTTAAGGCTTGGTTAGTGGATGAATAAATGATTCAAAAACCATTGATTATGTTTGCTACTTTTTGTAGTAGTTCAGACATGGCATGTCCTATCGGACAAAGAAATTTTAAGCTTGAAAATGGGAACTTGCGTCTGCATTAGCAGTAGGACAAGTTAGTTAAAAAACTTTGGTTTTGGGTGACTGCTTATTTGTTCTGAATTTCAAAGAGCTCAATTATTGTTTAAATGTTTGGTTAAAACATGGTTTGACAATGCAATTGATTCCGGTCCAATGTCTAAATAGTCTTTATTACCTATGTCTTATACCCCATTAAAATTATTATGTCGAATTAAAAGGATGATAAACTAGAACATTCACCAAAGAAATAAAAGTTTTAAATGAAACATATCTTTGGCCTTTGTGATGGAGTCAGATTACCTCGAGTGGAAAACATAGTTTAGTTAAAAGAGGTATTGAAAGTTCAATAGTTTTTTAACTAATAGCTACATGTTGGTCCTATTTGGAAGGTAAAATGGCCAAGCAATCCTATAAGGTCAAAGGGATTTGCACAACTATTCAACTGGAATTGGTACATACTGATAGCGTTCAAGCCAGAAAAAGTGATGGGTACTTCATTATAAGCCAAAAGCTTTTGGAAAATTCCAAGAGATTTAAGTCAGAGGCAGAAAAACATCTAGGTGTTCAAATCAAAACACTTTGGTCTGACTAAAGTGTTGGATACCTATCTGGTAAGTTCAGGTCTTAACTTATTTAAAAGAGGATATTTTCCACAACTGTTAACTCCAGGAATGCGTTACTTGAATGAAGTTGATGTATGCAATAATTAAACATTTTTAGACTTGGTGAAGACTATGTTCAGTTATTCATCTTTGCCAATGTTGTTCTGGGGAGATGCCTAGAAGAAGACAATGTACCTTCTTAACTTGATTCTATCCAAGTCTGTTATAGAGACACTTAAAGAATTATGGAAATGGTGCAAGCCCAGTTCAAACCATATTCGAATTTAGGGTGCTTCGGCACACGTCCTACAACAGCAGTCAAATAAGATGGAATCTAGTATGGAAGAATGTATATCTTTTGGCTACCCTAGGAGAACCAGGGATGAGATCTTATTCACTGTAAAGGACAAGACGATCTAAGTGAGCACTCACGTGATTTTCTTAAAGGAGGACTAGATGAGAAATTATAAGCTCTTAAGTAAGGTTATTCTTGATGAGACTTATCTTAGATCAAGAATTTCCAGAATCTCTAGAAGCTCCATCATCTGTTCCCTTGATTGTTCAAAGAGGGGAAATATATACCTCTAGGTGAACAAACACTGGAACCATAATTGAAAATTCAACATGATAATATATAAGTGAAACTAGCAGAAATATTTGTATCACATGTGGAATAACAATATCAAGGGGTTGTTAAACATATAATATGTGGATCATAAATAAATTGAAGATCCACCATTTGACCCAATCTTAGATCTACTGTAGATACACAATGTCTAGTGCGATATATTCGTAGTAGAAGATAACCTTGTTAACTCTCAAGTTGTCTCTTGTTGAGTGAAATTCATCCCACTAGTTACGATAATGCACTATAAGATGTTGTTAATCAAGTGTGCTTAAGCCATGAACCATAAGATGAGATATTTATATTTTAACTCTGTTCAGTACCTAATAAAGGAACCAAAAGGGGGTAAGTCCCTCTAGGTGCATGTGGATCTAAAAGCAAAGGGAAAAAACCTTCAAAGCTAGCTTGCAGGAAATTTTTGACATACGTCATGCTTGAGTCTATCTAGATTCTCTTAGTTGATGTTATAAATCTCAATTATGATATTTTATTTTGGGAGTTGGATATCGGGATATCTACATACAACAATCAAAAGGGTTTATAGCAAATGGGCAGGAACACAAAGTATGCAAGTTATGAAAGTCTATTTCATGAACTTAAGCAAACATCCAGGTCATGGAATATCATTTTTTATTAAACCATCAAAATTTTGATTTTGAGAGAAACTTGATGAATGATGTGTATTTGTATGTAAAGGATCCAAAGGGAGGCAATAGCTTTTCTGGTACTTTATGTAGATGATATGCTCTTTATTGAAAATAATGTGGAGGTAATATCAAGCATAAAAAGTTGGCCGAGTAAGAATTTTGATATAAAAGTCTTAGGGAAGCCAATTATATTCTTGGTATAAAACTCTTATGAGATCGGAAGTATAAGTCATTGACATCACCTTAGGCTATTTACATTGACAAAATTATTGCCAAAATTCAACATGAGAATTCTAAGAGAGGAATTATATCTCTCAGATGTGAAATTCTTCTTCTTAAGGAGTAACATCTAAAAACTCATAAGAAGGAAGAATGCATGAGTAGAATACCTTATGCTTTGACAATAGGTAGTCTCATGCATACCATGTTGGGTGTTAAACTAGACATTTGCCACAAAGCGGGAGTAGTAAGACGGTACCATTCTAGACTTAGAGGAACACTAGATTATTGTTAAGCATGTACTCAAGTATGTTTGGAGAACGAGAGGTTATATGCTGGTATATTCCAGTTGGAGTCTTGAAAAGCTGAGTTTTCATAGATTTAGTTTTTCAAGTAGATATTGACTCAAGAAATCAACCTCGAGCTATGAGTTTTTCACTAAACTCTGATAACTTTAGGGGTGGATCTTGCAAACTCAGTTACTAAGAGTGTTCTTGAACTTGTGTTCGAGAGGCATGTTACTTCTTTGGGTCTTAGGAGGTTCCCGGACTTGCATTAAGCGAGTGAGAGATATTAGGTTCATTGTGCTCTTGGAGTACGATAATGGAATAATGTAATCATTTTCCGAATTTTGCAAATGAGGTATTATTTATTTATTTTGCGCATTATTTACAAACATCATGGTCCGGATCAATTGTGGAGTATATGATCATATGGATACGTTCTTGGATGAATTATTTTATGAAATGGTTTTGTCTGAATCATTGTAAAATATTTGTGTGAATTAACATTCACATTAATAAGATTAATGAGGGATTTGATTAAGGTTATTTTTCTTTCGTAAGGTATCAAATCTTCAGTTAACTATAGTTATTTAATTACTCTTAATCCTGAGTTTATTATAAATAGATAATTGAATAATTCTCATTTTTTGATTTACCAACGAGTGAGGTTCAATCTTTTGACGGCCAATAACTCGGTATTTCGGTAGTGAGGTTATTTTATTATCGGTATTTATGAGATAAACAACATGGAATCTGTAGGATATGTCCCCTTGATATGTTTTGGTACTTGGATATTAAAGACACTGATCAATTCATATAATCCATTAAAGAAACTACTAGAGTCAAGAGAATAAATAATTGATTGAGATACAAAAAACTTGTCAATTAATTATAGACATTCTACAAAGGAGCGATGCATATTCATGTTATAAGTGTTATTAATCTTGGAGTTCAAGTTCGGGCTTTTAGTGAAGTAGCATTGAATTACATAATCATTCGTTGATTATCGTGATACTTGATTAATAATAGATGGTAGATCCCATGCTAGCTTGAGACAAGGGATGAGGTTTTTTTTCAGTTAATGATGACTTATGGGATACATGGTTTTAGATTTTGGACTCAAGTTTGTACCCAAAAGAGCAAGAGAGAGATTGTTAGGTTTATGCTCTTTTACTAAAGTCCAAATGAGCTAAGAGTATGAGAAGAGCCCAAGAAACCTAAACCCAATGAGCTTAGGGCCAGAGTTTCTTGGAACCTTTATAAATACTATCACTTAAGTCATCAGTCTCCTAGGTCAATGAATAGAAGATGTACGCTCAGATATGAAAAGGTGCTCACACACTTTCCCTTCCCCCTCGAGAGATAGCTTTGAAGGTTTACCATAGAGCAGAGAGATTTGTTCGAGCTAGAGAAATCTGTTCGTGTTATGATGCAGAAGAGAACAATATGTGAGTTCGTGTTGTGACGCAGAAAAAATCAATTCCTCAAGGGGAATCATACACAAGTGATTCTACGAAGATTTGCACATCAAGATATAAATGTGAAACAAGGATGATTCGATAAGCATACCAACATACTAGGCCTTAAATTGCTTCATCATAAATCCAATAGTTTCTACATGTTCAAGATATTGTTTTTTTTTTTTTTTGAAAATAATTATTGTTTTTCTTGCAACTCAGTATGGTTCAAGTTATTGTTCAAGATAAAGGCAAAGATGTTACTTGCAACTCATTATTTAGCCATATTTAAATGAAAAATAATAATAAATATATTATGACTTGGGTGAAGGGAAATTAATTCCCATTCACAGTTATGACGGTTGGTTGATTTAGCAAATGCTAATGGCATGGATAGGGAAAAAAATACAAAATAGAAAAGCGGTAAAACGGTAATAAAAAAAAAATTAAAAGAAAAAAGAAAAAAAGAGAGAGAGAAGGTAGACGGCACGCCTTACGCGTGTGCAATCCTGAACTCAATCTGAGGAGTCGCGCGCCAACCTCACTTTCTTTCTATAAAAAGCCTTCTAAACCTCCGCATGTCGTTTCAACCATACATCCATTCCTACCTCAAACTCTGTTCTCACTCACTAAACTAATTTCTCGTTTTATTAATTAATTCATTTCATTTCATTTTTTTTTTCCGGAATAGAGGATTTCAATTTTTTCTTTTCCCTGGAGAATGGACGTTCGCCGGCGAGCTGTGAATTCCGTCCGTTCACCCGCCGCCGGCGAAACTCTCAAAGCTAAGAACCAGAAACAGGATTCTTCACAGCCACAGGGATTGCTATATGTTACCAACGCTGTCTTCTTTACCCTCTTCTTCACCGTAGCGTATTTCCTCCTCCACCGATGGCGCGAGAAAATTCGCACCTCCACACCGCTTCATGTTGTTACTCTCTCCGAGATGGTCGCCATCGTTTCTCTCATCGCCTCCGTCGTCTACCTCATGGCCTTCTTCAGCATTGGCTTCATCCTTCACCCCTTCCTCGGTTCCCGCGCTTCCTCCGATGAAGACCTCGACGACGACGACGTCGTCATTGCCAAAGAAGACGCCCGCTCTCCCGGACCTTGCCCCGCCGCCGCGGCGCCGAAGCTGATTCCGTTGCCGAAAATCGCGGACGAGAAAGCCGTCCTTACTCTGTCGGAGGAGGACGAGGAGACTGTTAAGGCGGTGGTGTCGGGATCGATTCCGTCGTACTCGCTGGAATCGAGGCTCGGGGATTGCCGGAGAGCGGCGGCGATTCGGCGTGATGCGGTGGAGAGGATGACGAAGAAATCGTTGGAGGGTTTGCCGTTGGAAGGGTTTGATTATGAATCAATATTGGGGCAGTGCTGTGAGATGCCGATAGGGTTTGTTCAGATCCCGGTAGGGGTGGCTGGGCCCCTCCTACTCGACGGGAAGGAGTACACGGTGCCGATGGCCACCACGGAGGGTTGTCTGGTGGCTAGCACCAACAGAGGCTGCAAGGCCATTTCACTTTCCGGCGGAGCTTCCTCCGTTCTCCTCCGTGACGCCATGACCAGAGCCCCTGTTGTCAGGTTCAACTCTGCCAAAAGAGCTTCTCAGTTGAAGTTCTACTTAGAAGATCCTCTCAATTTTGATTCCCTCGCTGTCGCTTTCAATCAGTAATTCATTTTTCAACTTTTTCCTACTCTTTTTTTTTTTTTTTTTTTTTTAATTTATGATTCATGATAGCAGCGAATACTATGATTGTGATTGTGATTATTGATTTGTATTTGTATTTGTAGGTCAAGCAGATTTGCCAGGTTACAGAGTATTAAACCTGCTATAGCAGGCAAGAATTTGTACATTAGATTCAGTTGTTCTACTGGGGACGCCATGGGGATGAATATGGTATCCAAAGGCGTACAAAATGTACTTGCTTTCCTTCAGAACGATTTTTCTGACATGGATGTTATTGGGATATCTGGTAATTAAACAAATATGTCATTTTCTTTTACTGTTTCATAGTCATGGTCAAATTTGAATGTTGAAATTGCTATATATGATCATAACTTGTTTTTTTTTTTTGTGTCAGGAAATTTTTGTTCGGACAAGAAAGCAGCGGGTGTGAACTGGATTGAAGGGCGTGGGAAGTCTGTGGTGTGTGAGGCTGTAATTAAGGAAGATGTGGTGAAGAAAGTGTTGAAAACCAGCGTCGAGTCTTTGGTTGAGCTTAACATGCTCAAAAACCTTGCTGGCTCAGCCATGGCTGGTGCTCTTGGTGGCTTCAATGCCCATGCTAGTAATATTGTTTCTGCTATCTACTTAGCCACTGGTCAGGATCCTGCTCAGAATGTCGAGAGTTCTCACTGTATCACCATGATGGAAGCCGTCAACGATGGCAAGGACCTTCACATCTCTGTCACTATGCCTTCCGTTGAGGTACAATTACTTATTTTGTTATTAAATTGTTATTATCTTTTTAAGCTGAATATTATCTCCAATTTCCTGTAATATGTAAGCGGTAAATATTTTTTTAAAATAGTAGATGCGAGTTGTTGTAGCCTTGTAGGAGTACCCTTACATTCGAGTCCTTGTATATTCAGCTATATTATTGTTAAGGCACGGTCAACGAGAGTTGGTGTCATCAAAGTTAACCCGCGTCTCTGCAAGATTACCTAATATTCAGTGCCCTCGGTTGTTTACCTTAGCAGTTTTATTTTATCTCTGAAATGATCCTTTCCCCTTTAATTTTGTTTCAGTCGCATGCCTTTTTACTAGTAGCATATTGTACAAAACATGCTTATGTTGCAGACATTCCTTGGGAATGACCTCAACTGAATTCCTCAGTCCTCTGAGACAGGTCACGTGTATAGCCAGCGGTTAAAGTTTGCTCCAAGTATTATTGAACCGTCAGTCATTCATATTTATGTGTGAAATTATATAAAAAAAAATATTGAAACAAATACTTATAAAATTATTACCATTAATTCATTTTTATATAATTATAATTTCTTCACAAGATCATGTTTTATTTAACATGAGATTCATTTCCTATTCGAGCTTCTTCAACAAAATTAAGGGTTAATTTCAATGCTTTTAATATGTTAAATTTAATGAAAAGACACCTACTTGGGATTTAGGAGTGTCTTAAAAACAATTAATTATTTCAATCTCAAATGGGTGGTGGGTTTCCTTTTCAAATAAGGACAAGATAACTTTTGAGTGTTTGATGAAAAGTATTATGTTAAATGGTGCAGGTAGGTACAATTGGAGGGGGGACACAGCTCGCATCTCAATCAGCTTGTCTTAATTTACTAGGAGTGAAGGGTGCCAGCAAAGAGTGTCCAGGAGGAAATTCAAGGCAACTGGCAAGCATAGTAGGAGGTACAGTCCTAGCAGGGGAACTCTCACTCATGTCTGCAATTGCAGCTGGGCAGCTTGTTAATAGCCACATGAAATACAACAGATCTAGCAAGGATGTTAACAACAACATTGTCCAATAGAGCTGGCCCCACCACAACGCCACAACGTTGTACTAAACTTGTATCCTTAACTAAGAATAAAAGAAAAAATATCCACATGTATAATTTAGTTTCAAAAGGATATTTAATTGAGGATGGTGGGGCGTGGGGGAGTTAGTCTGCAATTAGACTTCATTATTATCTGGTCCATGTAAGGGGATTTGTCTCTTCCTAAGTTGTACAGAAGCGTTGAATAAGACTTAGTTTTATTCCTTTTTATTTTTTAATCTTTAATCACTTGTGTTATGTATCAGTCTTTCACGCTCTCATCTAAAGTTCATATCTTCAGGTGTGTATTTTGGTCCGTATTTTTTATTTATTTTCGTATTTAGTTGTGTTGTAATCTCCTTTATTTTGTTGTATACTTCCATGATTTTTCGGGTTGCATGTGTAAAAAGGAAATGGAACAAAATAATAATAATAAAAAACAAAAGTCAGGGTGGAAGTAAGGGAATAGTACATTCTTATATAAATAAAGAAAAAAATTTAAAAGTATGATGTTAATGATGAGTGATATTTTATTTAGTGACTAATGATTAATTTCAAAAATCATTATTATTGTTGTAATTTTTATAACATTTAATCTTAACGTTAAAATTTAGGCATATAAATAAAGAAAAAATATGTGTCATTTTAAAGTATGTAAAATTATGTCATTTTAAGCGAGAAAAAGAAATAGATAATGAGAGAAAGAAAATGGACAAAAAAATAAAGATGTAAGTCTCACCTCTTTGTGAGAGTAAAATGATTCAAGTTTGTGTCATTTAAAAGGACAAATAATTTTTTCATAAATAAAATATTAATAATAGTAATTTTAGTGAACGAAGAAGTTTTGGTTATAAGCTCTATAACTTTCAAAAAAAAGTTAAAATATTAAATAATGTATTATATTTGTTAAATATGCTACCTTAATCTTTTAAGTATATTATTCATATTAAATATTTTAATTGAAAACGTCGAGATACTTGCTGTAGACTGTAAATAATCAAAATCATATTATTAAAATTTTAAAGTAGAAAGTAGAACATTATTTTGATTTATGTGAACATCATAAATAATATATTTTTATAATATTCAAATAAGATTTCAAATTTTTTTGTTTTTTGAGAATTTAATATTTATTGAATATTAAAATTACAACTTTAAAATTAATTATTAATTATGTGTGTATCAATTGATATTACGATTGACGAAGAAACATTCGCATGCATCATCATAAACCATAAACCTTAAACTAAAAGTAACATACTGTGTATTATTTTACAATAATTTTTAAAGAATTTCTTTTATAAGATAAATCTACGAAAACTTTGAAGAAATGTACTAAGATTATATAGGTGAAAAAGTTAAAAATATTTTTTTTGGATACAAGTGGAAATTGAATACAAACCTAATACAACCTATCCAAACCCTCTCACCATTAGATAATAATAGTGACTTAGTTAAAAATATTTTGAAGTTGCAATAATTTTGACTTCGAATTGTACGTAATTTTTGTTCAAAATTATTATAAAACAGTACTCAGTATGCAATCATCCAAAAGTGCTCCAAAAATATATTCATATTTTTCATTTTTTATGAAATAATTTGGTCTCATATAATACATAAAAAAAAAAGTGGAATCTACTAAAAAATATGGATTTCACCAACTTATTATATGTTGCACGAAACAGATAATGTAAGAAACATATTTCCCAACTTTAAATGCATAGTAATCAGATTTGTTGCTTCTGTGGGTAAGTGTGAGACAGCATCTTGCATATGTGTCTCGAGGACCAAATTGGAACATGGATCGCCATCCCATCACGTGAATTCTCTCTGCCAGTTGCGTTCTTACATTTAAAAATGTTTTAGAAAAGGTGCTTAAAAGTAAAAAACATGCAATCATTGTCCAGTAATTTTTTTAATACAATTATGATCGTGAGATTTGAATCTATAATTATATATAAGTTAATGGATTATTGTATAATGTTGTTGGATTCATTATATGAACTGGGTCTCTTTAGAACTGCACACTAGTCTCATATTTTGTTGGGTATGCTTCGTCCTTTGCAGTAAGATGCCAATCCTTCTTGTTGACGGAATTAGCAGAAAGTCAACTAGTTTTTTAATTTTACTTTTATTAGTAATTTGGGCTTAGACCCATGAATAGCCGTTGTTAGGATTTTTTTAATCCTATTTATATTTTTCTTGTAAACTGAGTGATTCGTAACGATTGACGGTGAGATAAATATAGTACAAACAAGTTGGATGTAGCCTATATTGGGTGAATCAAGGTAAATCACCGTCTCAATCTCTCTTCTCTCTTCTGTTTTATTGACTTGTGTGATTGTTGATTTTCAACATTTGGTATAAAGAGTTTTGGTTTTGCGACTAGGGTTCCTGTGGCAGATTGGGGTTTCGTGATTTGGGGCTTTTTTCTTAGTGAAGAGAAAACTGCGAAATTGATCTGAAAAGGATGTCGACTGACTAATCATGAATCGAGGTTGAAAAGTTCGAAGGAAAGGGGTTCGAGTTACGAAAATTGAAGGTGGAGGGTTTGCTCGTTGATAGGGACATGTGGTATGTGATTGAAGATGAGAAGCCATTGATACCAACAAAAATTATCGGTGACGAAACGTCGGAGGAAGGCGAGTCGAAGGAGTTGAAGGCGTGGACTAGAAACGATCTAAAGGCGCGAAGCCTGATCTAATTATGCTTGGCAGGTAATGTTCTCGTGAACGTAACTTCTGAGAAGACCGCGAAGGATCTCCGAACAAGGCTGGGAAGCCTTTATCAAAGCAAGTCACTCGTGAACAAGTTATTCCTACGAAGGAAGCTGTATAATTTGCGTATAAGCGGAGGTGGTTATTTCTCTGCTCATTTAAATAAATTTAACACTGTTTGTCTGCAACTTTCATCTATAGATATAAACTTGGACGAGGAAGATAAAGCTTGTACCTTGCTATATTCACACCCAAATTCTTAGGAGCATATCATTATTTCAATTAGTACTGGCGTTAATAAATTATTGTGTGAGACAGTTGTTGTTGCCCTATTGTCTGAGGAGATGAGAATGGTAGGTTCTGAAGGTACCAGTAATAAGGCTCTAGTCGTTAGAGGGAGGAGTGGTGATAGATCGAAGTCTGGACAGAGAGGAAGCTCGAGGCGACGGTCAAAGTCCCCTAATAAATCTGAAGTAAGGTGCTGGAGGTGCAAACATGTTGGACACTTGAGGAGGAATTGCAGAAATAAAAGTGTAGGTCCTCTTGAGAAGCGAGATGATCCACCACGTGTTGGTTCTGGTACAAAGAAAGATGATGGAGATAATGTAGAGGACTTGTACTTGGCGTTTAACAGTTATATCGACTGTAAAGACTGGATCATTGACATTGGAGCATTGTTCCAACACATTATAAGGAGTGGTTCTGCACCTATGAACCAAATTTTGGCGGTACAATCAGAATGAGAGATGACACAACTCATACAATCATAGGGCGTGGGACGGTAAAGCTGAAGATGAATGACAGAACAACTAAGAATCTGCTGGACGTGATGCATATTCTAGGGCTTACCCGAAATCTAATCTCAGTTGGAAGTATTGCAGATTTAGGTATTAATTTCAGTAGTGATAAGTATTCTTCCAAGCTAACTCGGGGAGCTTTGGTGATTGCAAGAGGAGAGCACAATGGTAAACTATGGAAACTGCTGGACAACACAGTGTTCAGTGGTGAAAGCTAAATAACTGAACAGGCGGAGGAGGACCCTGCTATATTATGGCATAAAAGGCTGGGGCATATTGGAGGAAAAGGTCTGGAGAGCCTGGCATCAAAGAAGCTGGTGGATAAAATTTTGAGATGCTCTATAGTGTTTGGATTCTACGAGCATTTCCTGCAGGAGAAGCAAAATTGGGTATCTTTTGATTCCATAGGAGGAAGAGTTAAGGGAACTCTAAACCTGATACACAGCGATGTGTTTGGCCCCACACTTGTTGCTTCACGTGGAAAGTCAAGATATTATGTTTATTTTACTGATGATTTTTTTAGATATGTGTGATATTTCTTGCGCAGCAAGGATGAAGTGTTCGATAAATTCTGCGAGTTCAAGGCTTTGGTGAAAAATTAGTTTGTCCGGAAAATCAAGGTGTTGAGAACTGATAATGGTAGAGATTTTTGTTAAACAAAGTTCGATCAGTTCTTTGCAAGCAATTTGATTGCAAGGCAGAAGACTACGCCCTACTCACCTCAATAGAATGGGGTGGCGGAGAGATTGAATCGGTCTCTTATAGAGAAAGCACGAGCTATACTGAGCGTGTAGGCTTGACAGCTGAGTTTTAGGCTGAGGCAGTGGCTACTGCTTGTTATTTGAAGAACATATCTCCTACATCGGCCTTGAAGGAGAAGACTCTGTATGAAGAATTGTTTGGAAAAAGGTTAAACGTATCTCATGTTAGAGTGTTTGGCTGTGAGGCATATATGCACATGCCCAACGAGAAAAGAAACAAGCTTGACAGTAAATCTGAGAAGTGTATCTTTATTGGGTACAAGGATGGCGTCAAAGGTTATAAGGTGTGGAATCCAGATATTAGAAGTGTAACTTACAGCAGAGACGTTGTATTTAGGGAATCTAAACTGAATCAAATTTTTCCTTAGGCTCTTGAAAAGTCACAGACAATGGAGTTGGATGTGGGTTTGAAAGAGGATACATTAAATTCACATGTTGGATTGGAAATTTTGAATTATGAAGCTGCTGAATATAATGGGGTAGAGGATGAAGTTTCTGAAATCGAGGCTGAGATTGAAGCACCAGTGCTGAGGAGATCAATGAGGGAAAGAAGACCATCTGAGAGGTATACAACTGAAAATTATATCATGTGTGCTAGTGATGATGTTTGTGCATATATATAGGTGATGATCCGAGCACTGTAAAACAAGCCAGTAGCACGGAGGCTGCCAAACAGTGGGAAGAAGCTATGAAAGAAGATATAAAGTCTCTAATGGAAAATTAAACTTGGAGTTTGATGAATCTACCTGCAGATTGAAAAGCAATTGATTGCAAGTGAGTATTTAAGAAGAAGGTTGGTGCTAATGGGGAGATTGAGCGTTACTTACAAGGCTTAGTTGGTTGCAAAGGGATATTCATAAACATAAGAGGTCGATTATGGTGAGGTGTTCTCACTTGTTGCAAAGTTCAATTCCAAAAGACTTGTTTTGTCTGTTGGAGCTGCATATGACTTAGAGGTGGAGTAGCTAGACGTGAAGACTACGTTCCTACATTGTGATTTAGAGGAAGTTATTTACATAAAGCAACCAGAAGGGTTT